GTAGTTTCAAATGCCTTGGCAAGCTGAGATACAGATCTTTATTCCTTTTCTCAGTTGTTATGGACCAGTATTTTCTTTAGTACCATGGTTCCCTGGCTGTGACCTACAGACTGCCAACCTCCTGCTGGCCCACAGATTCCACCTTGCCTGTAGAGCTTCCTCCATAAAACTCTGATGATGTTGAAGGATGGATGTTGAAGATGGCCTAAGGTCCCAAAAGTTTGGAACTGATTGGGAACTACATCAGTCTGTCCAAAACGGATGAGGATGAGAAGAGCACCTCTGAAGCCGTTGCGTGGAAGCAGTAGCACCGAGTGTGGTGCAAAGTATGAGTTATTCTGATGCTGACCTGATCACTGCTGTGGCTGTTTCCTTTGGTCTTTTGGGGATCTGGGCTTTCTTCATTCTCTGTGTTTCTTGTGGACCGCCACAAAGATGTCAAAAGAAAAACGCTAGAAAGGTACAGTGGTTTGAGCAGGCCATCTGTGCCACCAATATTTAAAAAAAACCTCAGGGCTCTAGGCTGCCTGGGGAGGCTTCTATTTGAAGGGAAGGTTTTTTTCCTTGTTCATTGTTTTCTATACCGTAACACTAATATTAGTATTCCGCAACACTAATATTAGTATTTTAGTGTTAGTGTTGTTTACCCAGGTGGCTCTGGTGAAGCAGGAGTCTCTGATAATCCAAAACCAGAGCACAGAAGGCCACCAAGCGCTGGGTTGGATGCGATTGATGGTTCGACTTCCCTGCTTCAAGACACGCTTTATTAAGTTTACTTTGTACAGCATTGTATCTTCTAGGTTTTTACTAGAGATTCCCCTGGGCAGCTCCTGCTTGCAGCCTGACATCTTCCTGCAGTGGCAGAGTTGCTCTCAGAGCTGCATACCTGCCTGCTTGCACGGAGTTTTGGCTTCCATAAATTAGCCACAACTGGGCTGACTGTCATCAACTTGATGGTAGCAGATGATCCTGTTTTTTCTGGATCATACCCAACACGTGAGGCAAACTTTGGTTTCTTATTCCAGGAAGAGTTTTGAGCATCCAAGTGAAGATGCCTTTTCCTTTTGGCTTCAAATGAATTGTGCTGCTTTGTTAATTCTTGAGAAGTTTACAGTAAAAACATTTCTTCTTGCTATGGGCAAGAGCTGGATAGTGGCTAGGAGGAGAAATAATTCAGCCACATGGATATGGGCTTCCAAGTCCTAGGTAGGAACTAGGTAATACAAAATACAGGAGAAGAGGGAGAGATTTAAACAGCAGGGTTCTTGAACTGGAGCCTGTTCACTGCCCTTTCTTCATGGGCTTCTCTGCCTAGACTGCTTGCTGTCGGAGGTTTCAGTGCTTCAACCTAATAAAAGGTGCCTGAATTCAAGAAGCATCTACCTTTAGAGCCGTAGCTGTTCAGTTACTTAAGTTGATGTGATCTTCCACTGATGTGAAAATCATACCCCATCAAATGTGTTAAATAGGGCAAACTCTCAGGGGGATTTCAGAGGGATGTGTTCTCTCTGCTCCCTTTCTGCTGCCTCCTGTTTCAATTTCAACACTTTGCTGTGGCTTTGAATGCAAGCTCCCAGCAGCTGAGGGTGGCCAGGCGTGCAGGGATGCTGCTGCCGGCAGGGGCAGTCATGGGAGGGCTTCCCCCTGCCCACCCCTCAGGCAGCAGCCTCTGGTCCTGGCTCTTGCTGAGGTGCCTGCCCTGCCCTGCTCCGCATGCTGCTTAGAGACTTAGAGACTCTGTGGCATGGGCTTTTTTAATAGTTTTCTTGAACCCTGACTTCTGGCTGTTAGTGTTAATTGTGGTGTTAAGGGGATTCCTCTGTGTAAGTCAGTCAGTCGGCATGGCTCTACCGAGCGCTTGTCATGAAAACAGGGAAGGCTGCATTCTCTCTCTACAAGCCTTCCCCTTTCACTGGCAGTGCTATTTCTTGCAATTTTTATCTGACTTAGCCCCTAGCCCAGGACTTCAGATGCCAAAAGAGGTGGTGCTGTCTGCTCTCCTCTCAGATCTAGTGTGGGATTTGGCGTTCACTTGGATTTCGCACCTCTGCTGAGGCGCAGGCTGTGAATTCACCTCCCAGCAGAAACATGTTCCCGTGCCCAGCAGTCGGAGGTTCCTGTGGAAGACCACCTATCTGCAGCCCGGCAATGGGTGCAGGCAGCTGAGCTCCTGGGGGCTGCAGAGGGCTGGGCTGCAGCCGGTGCCCCACGCTGCAGACAGAGCTGCGCTGGCTGCAGTACCCACTGTTGCTGGAGGGCCCTGCTGCAAAGCTCGTGGGCAGCCGTAGCTGAGTGTCCAGTGTTGGCAAGAGGTAAAGTGGGGAGGTGAGCAGATGGATGTTGAGCCTTCCCTCATCTAGCCCTCGTGTGCATAAGATTTTAGGTAGTCTTTCCCCTTTGCTGTCAAACTGAGAACCTAACAGTGAGTAGTGGCTGAACAAGGGATGGAGCCAGCAGAGTGCTGCCCTTTGGGCTGGTAGTTATGCCTTCATTATATCCCAGGAGCACGAAAAATCAGGGATGTGCCTGGTTGAAAACCTGCCTGATGCATCCAGCACAGATGTAGGGCTGGAGCTGGTTCCTTGGCCAGGGTACCTCTCTGGGCATGGACAGAGCAGAGATTTGCTCTGGTGGCAAGAGCTGGGGTAGGAAAAAAAGGTCCCTTCCTGCAGCCTGGTGCCTTGTTGCATGGGCAGGGACAAGGGATTCCTAAGCCAGCACCTTTAGGGATTGTACCTGATGTTGGAAGCAATGAAGCAGCCAAGAACAGCCTGCAAGTTTCCTGTGTCAGCATCTGCCCCTGGCCTGAGGGTTGAGATTGGCACCGTGCTTGTCATCTGGATTTTGGTAGCCCCCGGAGGGTCCCGGCAGAGCTGAGGGTCTCAGCAATGCCTGGCGTCTAGGTCCATGGCAGGACATGGTACTTGCTGAAGATGGGTGACAAATGTTTTCTTTAAATAACTGTTGCTTTTACCTGCACCATTTTTTCACCTTTTGTTTGTTGCCCGATAAGGAAATAACCTACCTTACATTTAAAACCACTTCTTCTGCTCTTCTCAGCATGCTTACATGTGTGTGTGACCCACCAGGTGCCCCAGGACAACCTATGCCTGTTCCTGTCACGCAGCCTGTCCCGAGCTCCCCACTGCCCTGGAGAAGGCCGGCAGTATGGGGCTGCTGTCCTTCCCTCTCTCCCTGGAAGCTGCATGCACTCTGGATCTGCTACACACTGTCATAGCCAACCGCTTTGCCTCCCCTAGTGTTGAGCAGGGTAAATCCCTTCTGGGCCTCTCAAGTAAGCTGAGAACCAGACCAGCTTCATGGGCTGTAGCTCCACAGTGGCCACTGCTGCTGGCACGAGCCAGCCTGTTCCCACTGGTAGGGAGGCAGGATCCTGGGCAGATCCTTATTTTCCTTGCAGGGCTTCTGCTGTCTTCTCTCAAGCCCATCACCTTTGTCTCCATCATCCTCCTGGAGCTCTTTCTCTGTGGGTCCAGCCACCCCCTTAGTAGCTGCTAGCATTCCTCACTTTCCTCATTGCTCCTGCCGGCACAGCCACCCAGCCGGCCCCGGGTGGGAAGGGGGGCAGTCCAAGCCCTAGCAGGAGTTGCCTTTGAAACAGGGGAGGGTCTCAGCCAGCGGCTGCTCTGTTTCTTTCCTATGTCCTGTCCCCAGACAGGACAGGAAAGCAACAGGGGGGATGGGATGACTATGGCACTTTTACTCTCCCATGTTGGCACCCCCACGCGCTGTCTCTGGCCAGAGATATCCAGCTGCTGAGGGGAGTCTGAAGATTGGATTTAGCAGGATCTTATCTAGGACTTTCCTGCCTCTTAATGGATCAAGCAGCAGTGGAGAGGCTGGCAGAATAATCTTGGACCAAATTCTGCTTTACCCCATCCCTGCAGCCCCCCAGGGGCTTAGTGTGTGGGGCCATCCAAAATCCACTCATAATTGTTCACATTGTAACTTCTGCACCCCCCCCCGCCCTCTTCCTAGCATGTCTGAACTGGGTCCTCAGGACACGGCTCAGCTTCTGACTGTTCCCAAATAATTATCACGTAATTCTTCTCCCAAAATAATGTAAGGTGTGGGTGAGGTGCATTCACTTCCAGTGATGTAGCAACACCCCTTACACAACAGAAATGCTGGGTGTTTCACCAAACTGGGGATGGGATGGCAGCCGTAGGAGTGTGACTAAGGGGTGTCAGTGTGCCACGGGTGTTGCACGTTATCTCTGGGGCTGCTTTCTGGGTTTGCCTTCTTCCAGTGCATCACTATCCTGGCGCCTGCTTTCCCTTCCCAGTCCTTTCCCTGGAGCCTCCCCATCCTCCCATGGCTGATCCATCACAGAGCAGCTCTCCATTCAGACGCCCGCTGTGCTCTCTGGCATTGTGGGCCCTCTCAGAGGGTCCTGTTGGGACCTGGGCTCGCTCCCGCCCCGTCTGCGCTGAGCAGGGTGGCTTGGAGTTCTGCGAGGGCCAGAGCCAGAGAGTGCCTCTCGGCCTTCCCACCGGGCTCTGCAGGCCTCCCAGCGAGCTCGCGCAGACATCAAGGGCTCAGGGGGAACCAGCCATTCTGGCTGGGCAGAAACGGAAATGCAATCCATCTGTGCTGGTTCTGGAGCGGTGACCAGGGTTGAGCAGCGAGTGTCTCTGCTGGTGCTGTGACCCAGCAGAGCTCCTCCAGCTGCTCTCCCTCTCTAACTCTCTGCAAAGCAGCTTTTGAGCCTTAGGAGCACAGAGGAGAGGTTTTGAATTTCTGGAAAACTCCCCTGATACACCCTGATATCTGAATGTCTTTTATTTTTGTGGCTTTTTTTTGTTTATTGTATTTTGTTTCTTGTTTTTTGGTTTTTTTCCCAGTGATGAACTCCAGACTGTTCTTCTCTCCCAGCTCATGAGCTTCTGGCTTGCAGCTGCAATCCTAGTTGTTGGTTGCCCGAGTACATGGCAGAGCATTTCATGCTATATTAATGGCATGTTTCTCTCCTTGCAGTGATGAAGATGATGGCGCTACCATGCCCTGCTGCTCTTCTCTTGCTAATGGCTGCATTCACTCTGGAGCCGTCTCACTGTGCCAAGGTGCTGATCATGCCCACCATAGTCTTTGACAGCCACTTGCGAGTCTTCATACGAGTGGCAGAGGCACTGACTGACCGGGGCCATGACCCTGTGCTACTTCTTCATGAGGGCCGGGATGTGGAAGCCTACCTGCCTGGCTTCCGTGTGCAGAGGTACTGGGGTATCTTCAGCACCGAGAGCGCAGATGCCTGGGTGCAGGAGAAGATAAAGCGGGTCTTCCAAGGGAAGATGACCTCTCTGGAGGTGTTTTCCTTTCTGGAGAAGTACCTGGAAAACTGTGACCTGGTGCTGGGAAACTCTACCCTTCTGCAGAAACTTCAGCACGAGCAATTTGACCTGCTGTTGGTGGACCCCAATGAGATGTGTGGCTTTATCCTGGCCCACATCCTCCATGTCAAATATGCTGTGATCTCCACTGGTTTCTGGTTCCCAGCAGAGATTGGTGCCACTTCCCCCATTGCCTATGTCCCCGAGTTCAACTCCCTGATGACAGACAGGATGGGCTTCTTTGGTAGGACTTGGAATCTCCTAGTCTACATGATCACTCGCGTGGCTACAAAGCTGGTCATCCTGCCCAAGTTTGAACGTCTCATGGAGAAGCATAAGGTGGAGCCCAAGACATCCATGTTGGCCCTTGTCCATGGAGCTAGTCTCTTCTTCCTCTGTAACGATGTGGTTTTGGACTTTCCCCGTCCGACGCTCCCTCATGTCATTTTCACAGGGGGGATCCTTGCTGAGCCTGCAAAACCCCTTCCAGTGGTAAGTGCGGGAATGCTCTGAGCTGTGATTGCACGTTAACCTGGGGGGTTATTCAGTGCAAATCTTCTTTTAAAGAACCTTGTAAATGCTCTGAAGCCCCAGGAGTCTGGAAAGCTGCTGTGTTTTGGTGCTTGGGTGCATCAGGGAGACAGGGAACGCTGAGGGCTGTGGGGTTGCAGGGTGGGTGTAGAATTAAGTTGTCCACCCTGAAGTGGCATTTGGCTTCACTGTCCATGTAAAATGGCGTATGAAAGTCCTAAACTGGCAGTGTTGCCCCTGGGACTTGATCATGAGTAGTTTGTTTGTTCCTATTCTTGAAGTGGAAATGGGAAGAACAATTAGTCTTTGCTTCATCACTGGTTTATGACAATCCAGAATTTCCTCCTTAGTCCCATTTCTCTCAGGGCATTTCTGCCCTCAGGCTTGTAGTCTTGAGAACCCATAGGAGAGAGCTGTGTTTGTTCCCTCATCAAATTCAATGTGGAATCCCAAAATGTACAAAATCAAAGTGTATCATCCCCTTTTTCCCCTGAGGGAAAACTCCCCAAGCATCCCAGAGGCTTTCTCTGGCCTGTGCCTCGCTATCCCCAGTAATAAATTCAGAGGGACAAGCTCTTAAAGCCTCCAACTGAAGACAATATTGGAACAGAGCAGGAACTGTCTGCTGTTCCTCCCGTTGCCTTACCACTTTTACAAACACTGAGCGGGGAATAGACCTGGATAATGACACACAGGCAGTCGGGTTGTCCTAGTGTCCCGACTAAGGGACTGAAATGGAGAAAAGATTAAAGTTTCAAATTATTAGAGGCCTGTCAAGGTCTCTGATGGCAGCTTTGATTGAGACCATGGGTGCCAGTTTTTTCCCATTAAGAGGAAAAAGTGAGGTCAGGGGCTTTAGAACAGAAGTTCTCCAGATGTGTATGGCTGCACATCACCTTCTCCCATGAGGCACAGCACGTAGGTAATGCAACATGCGTAGGGTGCTCCAAAAGCTGTGTCAGAGAGTGGCTACCTCACAGGTCTTGCAAAACACTGTCTTGGTCCAACCTGGCCATGTACACACCTGCCTTATAAAGAAGGGAGTTGTTTGCTGGGGCATTACTCATGTGCTTCCCGGCTTCCAGAACAGATCCCAGGGCGCCTAAGGGAAGAATGATGGAGATAAGTCCGGAGCCCTGCAGTAGGTGGTGGCTGCCTTGCTAGCAGGTAGGCATGCCTGTGTCCAGGTTACAGGACGCCAGCGGAAGAGAGGGCCTCTGTAGGTTGAGGTGTAGTTTAAGGAATCTCCCATCTGAACTGGAGCAGAGTTACGTAATTAAGGTGTTCGTTTCCTCGTGTTTGAGACACTATGGTGCGAGTTCCCCGAATTAGGACTCAGTGAAATATAGATATGCATTTGAGAGATGGTGAGAACTTTTGGTGGTCAACTGTGCTTCCCTAGAAACTTTAATGTTGTTTCTGAAAATCAAATGTTAAGACCCAATTATAATGGATAACATAATCATCTGTTTTATGAGTCTTTGTACTTTTATTTAGAAAAGTAAAACTAGCACTTTCTCCTCTTTAGCAGTTTTACTGGTTTTATTGCTCAAAGGATGTGAAATCTAAGAGGATGGAGAACTCAAAATTCCTTAGTTGAAAACTTTTTGATTCTTGGCTGTTGGGTTGTTTTAAGCATTTCTGCAAAGATAGGTTTGAGTCCCTGAAGCACATAAGAAAGGACAAATATCCCCACAGAGTAACACTGAAATGTGCTTTGTAGCTCTTCTGTACCATGAACCTCCAACCTGTAGGCTACTACTAGTAAGATATTCTGAATTAATCAACTTATTTTTCTCCTTTGATAACAGGAAGAACTATTTCTTTGCCCTTCATGTTCTTCTACTGTGTTTATTTCATGGAAGTTTTCATATTCAAAAACAGATTTTATGAAATTTCCCTAAAATGCTCCTGACTGTGATAGATGGGAAACTTGAAGCAGGACAGAATCCCTAATGAGAAATAGGCTCAGCCCAGCCTGGCATAAAAGGGGATAGTTGGTGTTTGCTGCACAGCTGATGCAGTGGCTGATCTCTTCTCCCTGCAGCCTTCTGGCCCTGCTTGAAAAAAGTGTGGATCCTGTTCTAGACACACAGCTGTTTGTGTAGCATTACAGGCAGCCTCTACACGAAGGACAAACAGCTGTGGGTTTTGCTGTAGCTGCAGCTACCTCTCTGCCTAGTGACCAAAAACTAAATCCTGCCAGTAGCTATCAGGGATGGGTAGAAGCCCTTCTTCCACCTCCAGGAGCCTTCAGCATTGCAGAGTTTGTGGGGAATCTCCAGCGAGATGTTGTTCCTGACTGTACCTGCATGATGTTTCCTCTGTTGTATCAGCCTACAGCTGGAGACCCTGACAGGCCTCCTGCCTCAGTGGTGATGGAAAATAGCCTTCCTCATTTTACTCCAATTTCCTTCTCGGCTCTGGCCGCTTCTATGCGGGCTCTCTGTTTTCAGAGCCCTCCTTGCCAAAAAGTAATTGTGTTGCCTCCAAACCAGGAGGTAATGACATGAAATGCAAGTTTTGGGCGCCTCCCTGCAGAGCTTCCCAGCCCAGCAGGTGCTCAAGTAACTTCTGCCTGGCTGGGTGCAGAAATCACAGCGGTTTTCAAGTTCATTGCCTGGTGAAAACCACATAGCTTTGTGCTCCAGGTGGATTTGGCTTTATCCTCCCCAAAGAACTTTCTACTGGCAGAGGCAACAGTGGGAAGGACCTTTCTCCACCAAGACTTCAAGGCAACTGTGTGTGTTTTGCCCGCAGGGTCTGCGCCTCTGGGTGGAAGCAGCAGATGCGGGTGTTGTTGTTGTCTCCTTTGGCATCGGGATCCGAGCTCTTCCAAGTGATTTGGTGGAGAAGATGGCTGGCGCATTCGCTCGCCTCCCACAGAGGGTGGTGTGGAGGTGAGGAGGGAATGGGCTTCCTCTTAACTCGAGTTAGATGAAAATCAGTGTTGAGGGGTGATTCATCTCAAAACACAAAATTAGCTTTCCACCTCTTGATCTGATTGAACGTATAATTGTTCTCTGTGTGTTTCTTCCTTTCTCCCCCCCCTTCCTTTATCTCCTCCCATAGATACTTTGGGCAGAAGCCAAGAAACCTGGGTGAGAATACCCTGATGATGGGGTGGCTGCCCCAGAACGACCTGCTAGGTAAGGCTGGGCTCCGTGTGTGTGTGTGTGTGCGCGCTGCTAGCAACATCCCTGGAGTTTAGCCCAAACCACAGCAAAGGCATACAAGGACAGCAGCACCTGTGTGGGTCTAAGTCTCTTGCTTGTTGCGAGTCGGATCTGCACAAAACATGGTCCTGGCCTAACACCTGCTTGAGGCTGCACCTTGGCCCCTATCTCCCTCCTCTTCCAGATGTTAGCCAGCAAGCTTTGGGCTGCCGAAAGCCAGATGTGTTCCCAAAGGGTAGCGTCTTCTCTGCTCAGCATGCCTTGTTTTCCCTGAACATACATCAGCACTGTGTGTTGAGGAAGCCACCGGTAGCCCTGTTTCAGCATGAAGGGCACTGACCTGCTGCCATTTCTTTGCCTGCAGGCCATCCCAACGTGAAAGCCTTCGTCAGCCACTGCGGGATGAATGGCGTATTTGAGGCAATCTATCACGGTGTGCCAGTGGTGGGACTCCCTTTCTATGGGGATCAATTTGACATCATGACCAGGGTGCAGGCGAAGGGCATGGGTATCCTCATGGACTGGAGCAGTGTAAAAGAAGAGGATCTTTACCAGGCGGTTGCCACAGTTATCTCTGACCCCAGGTGAGGCATCCAAAAGCATCAAGCTCTTCCTTGGTACAGGCTGTCTGTGAGGACCAGCACGTCTTTGTGTTGTCCACTACGCAGCCTGTGGTGGCTTCTGGACCAAGCAGAGCTGCAAGCATCACTCAGCAGGCCAGGCGTCTCAGTGCCTTGAAATCCTGAGGTGCGTCCAGGAGGAGATACTCCACTGTTTGCTGTTAGAGAGCATGATCGAGTCCTGTTTGGCTCTGACTGTAATTTTCTTAGAAAGCTTTCCAAGATGCTGAGGCACAAACCTCTTTCCTTTTAATGCCAGCCTGTCATCAGGGAAAGTGAGATCACAGCCTCGCCTTGGGATCTCCCTGGCCTTGTCCAAACCACTTTCTGTAGAAACAGTTAGGGCAGGGAGTGGACTGCAGGTAATGCTCCATCTCCTCCTCCTGACAACCAGATGCTCTGACTGTTGCTTGATGCTGGGTGAGGTCTTTGGGTGTAAACTCCCCTCAGAAAGCAACAGTCCACATGAACCCACTGAGCAGGGACTTGGGAGCTGAACCACCAGTCTTGTTAACGAAACACAAAGTAAATGCACTCTGGCTTGTGCCGCCGTGGCTCATGATTGCCATCGGAGCGGCTTTCAGAGGCAGATAGGAAGAGAATTCTGGAAGGAATTTACCACTCTCCTAAGGTATCATTTGGGACTTCACACCTCTGACCACTTTGCAAGTACAAAGCTCCTGTCAGAAGGGTAACTTCTTGTCTTCTTCCCTTGCAGCTACAGAAAAGCAGCCAAGCTCATCTCGGCTCTGCACCTGGACAGGCCGATGCACGCTCTCAATAGGACAGTGTATTGGCTGGAGTACATCCTTCGTCACGACGGGGCACCGTATCTTCGCCCTGCTGTCTACGACCTCTCCTTATACGAGTACTTCTGCCTGGACATCTTGGCTCTTCTCCTGCTGTGCCTGGCTGGTATTGGATTCCTTCTCTACAAATCTGTGGTGTGGTGCAGAAGGAAGGGGGCCATCCCCGTGTATCAGAACGGCAATTGCATGAAAGGCCACTTCACAGAAGAGAAGAAATTGCAGTAGTGGCTCAGCATGTTGCAGGGCACATCCCGTCACTGTGAAACGAACTGCTGCTGTGCCAAGAAATGTACGGCACACAGGCACGGAGAGAGGTGAAAGATCAGCAGGTCTGGGTGAGAAGAGAATGGGGAGGGAGGAGTGTTGCAAAGTCCTGCATGCACACCTCTGTGTACAGCACCTGTGGGCGGGGACGCGAATTTGGGCATGGGTGGAAGCACTTGGCGAGGACGCTGGGAATGGGGCATGGGTAGGCAGACTTCCAGGGAGGAGTGCAAGTTGTTCCCTTTTTATTGCACGTTGGTTTAGATGCTGGTGTTGCTCTTCTGGCTTTTTGGATCGCTGTGGAGGCTCTGGAGGTAGGAATAGCATTTCATGTGTGGCAGACACCGTTTCTCCTCTGCCTTGTTACCAGGAGCCCCAGGAGTCAGGATTCCTGTATGGGCAGGTGAGGACCTGAAGTAGAGCTGGGGACAGGGAAGGGCACTGAAAGTATAATCTACAAGAGAATGAAATTGGTCTGGTTTAAGTTCTGTGGGTAAATATTGTTCTTCCTGCTTCCATCAACCCTCTGCAATCCTGTTTGTGTTTGAGCTAAATTATTATTTTTTTTTAAATAAAGTTATATTCTTTCCCCCATGTGACAGTTCTCTCAGGATGTTGTTCAAGCAAGATTAAAGCACTTTTTCTTCTTGTCACTGCTGCTACGGTCTCCACGTGACTTTGTCATCTCTGGGGTGGAAGAGGGAGATCGTTACTGCTACCGCTGTGAGAGTTTGGCTTTTTAGATTAGGCTGAGCACGTGGGGAAACTTGTGGCTTGGTGACAGCATTGGATTGGTTTGAACATACAGAGAAGAAAAAATAGTGAGAGGACAAATGCCCTGTACTTGCAAACTGATGCCACAGCCGAGTGGCTTGTCTCTGTGCCCCACAGCCCAGCCGTGTGGCAAAACACACTGGAGGCGAGGGGCTCCTTCAGTTTGGCTGTGCCCCACAGCAGTCATCTCTGGCCTCGGAGAAGTGGCAGGGGAGGGTACCAGCATCAGCCTTGCCCAGCAGAATCCTCCAGGCCAGATGCGGATCACCAGTGCTGGCACTGCAGAGGAAATGGGCACCGTGGCCTGATGGGGGCAGAGACCTGCACGTTGTTTTGCTTGCAAGCAAGAGCAGGGAGAAATGTTTGAGACCCAAGGAGCCTGTGTGGGCTTACAAAGATGTGAGTCTATTTTCCAGCTTGCTGAGGACGCTGCTGCCTTGCCGTTCACAGTTTCAGAAAGCACCACATGCAGCATTAGCATGTTGTCTCCTATCAGATATGTCCTTAACTCCTTGAGCTTTTCATGACTACTTTCATTTCCAAATGTATAGCAGAGTTAGGAGGCATGTCTATCCAGGGAGTCAAAATATATGTAGTGTATTGAAAAATGATTAAACAATTTGGCAAGAACTTTTAATGGAGTAAAGCACAAACCTGCCCAAGGATCCTGTAAGAAATGGACATTCAGAAAGCATCCCTGAAGCGAAAAGAGGCTTCCCCAGGAAAAGCTGTGTATGGGCTCAGAAACTGTCAGGAGCCATTCTTAGAGTTATGGGGGGTTGGTTCTGGGAATATTTGGATATATTCGTTAAAAACAAGGGCTCCTCTAGCTTTTACAGAGGATGGGAATAAAGCTGGAAATCTTCTTTCTTCCTATTAAACACATAGCTTTCTCTCTTTACTTTTCTCCTTATTGTTCTCTCAGTATTGAATACAGAAGGAAAGTATAACAAAGCCTTAAGTTAGCTATTAAGTTCATTTAAGAGTAATGAGTAGCCCGTCACACACATTAAAAGCCTTGGTGGGGGTAGGGATGTAGGTGAGCTTTATCCTTCAGGCAGCTCTGCTTTCAGCTTGGTACCCGATCTGCAGGCAAGGTGCTTCTCAGTTACTGTGTGCCCTCCCCTGTCACAGGCACTGAGGCAGGCAGGTAGGGCTGTGGCGTAACTTAGGAAATTAAAACCGTGGTTTAGGAGGCAGCAAGCAGGGAACAAGCCTTCTTTTTTCCCCCCCTCAAGGAAAAGTTGGATGTGAGTCAATACTTTTTGGAGGGTTAAAGAAGCCTCACCCAGGAGCTGCAACCCTAGTTGAGCCCTGCGCAGTGTAAAGCTGCCTTCTGCCCCTCTGTCTTGCTCTTGGCAAGGCGCGGGGCAGCCTGAGCAGGATGCCAAAACACCAGCAGTCTCGCTACAGCGTGCAAAGCTCCCTGCGAGGGGCCCCGAGTGGCTCCCCAGGCAGGGAGGTGTTCGGGGCACTCTTGAGCCAGCTTTTCAGGTTTGCCCAGCCCCGGCAGCTCCTCACAAACCTGCTCAACGCATGAGGCACGGCAGCCCTGTGAGTGGGAGCCATCCCAGCATTGGAGACACCCTGGGTTTGCAAATGAGTGTGTTTTCCAGGTGATGGCCATGCAGCTCTGCCCGAGCCTTGGGCTGGGGGCAGCTCCTTGCTGGCAATGGGAAAGGGGTGAAGCCAAACGCTTTCACCATTCCTGTTGCAACCCCTCTCTTAGGCCAGCATCGGTGGCCATGCCACTGCTGGAGCACACGGCAGGGCCTGGCGCTGCCTCAAATGCTGCTCTCCTGCGGGACTTGGCAAACAGCTAATAAGCTACTGCTGCTTCATCCCCAGTGCTTTTGTATGTGGGAGGGTCCTCACATCCCCTGGCAGCATCCCTACCGGAGAGCCTGTTCATGGGCCACAGCAGGGCCACGTCAGCTTTGTGGCTGGTTTTTCTAGCCTGGTAAGGTGGCAGCATCAAACTGTGTCAACAAAATTTGGCTAATAAAGAGGAGCCATCTCCCTCTGCAGGCGAGTATGAAATTGTTTTGGCTGTGAGAGGAAAGCCTCAAGGACAGGCTCCATGAAGATGATGATTTTGACTCACCCCATCATTAAATGACAGTGAGCAAAGAGCATCTCCATGCCAGGAAACCCTTCTCTTTGGCCGATGCAGGGACCTGTGCATGGCTCAGCCCCAGCCACTCGCCCCTGATAGACAGACTCTGCCCATGGATTTACGGTCTTATGGTCTCCATGATGCTCTTCGATGCTTGAGTTCATTGGCAATGCCTTCCTCCAATGCTTCCACATTGCAAATACTTCCCACCGAGGAAGAGAATGAGCTCAGGCTCTGTAGGTATCCAGTTCCCAGCAGTAGCCATTTGCCATCGAGACTGCTGTTGAGGTGGGCAAGTCCCCCTGTCCCCGCAGGGACCTCTCTGGGGCTGTGTCATGGCAGGTGGAGCTGCACAGCAGGGCTTGCTCCTGACACCTATAACCACCCCTGTTCCTCAGAGCAGGGAATTACCTGATTGCTGCAAAGGTCCCAATCCCTTTATTTGAGGACGGAGGTTTCCTTGGAGGGATGAGCTGTATTTCAGTGGTGGGGATTACCTGGCTCGCCAGCTGTGTTGCAGGGGCCAGAGTGTTTCAGGCTGCTGGAGTTACAAGTCATCTCCAGGCAGTAGCTATTTGCTGCTGTGGTTTCAGCCCAAGGGACAACATGAAGGAAGGGATATTCCAAAATAAAGCACCACTCTCCCCAGTGTCAGTCTGCAGATTGCTGCTAAGCTTGGCACAAGCTCACAGCGAGGTGCATAAGGGACAATGTGACACAAGCCACCAGTGGTACCTGATGGGGTACTCCTATGGTCCCGTGTAGGTAGTGGTGTCAGGCAGGGATGGGAGATGGAGGTAAGCTGCAGAGCAGTAGCAGGCATGGTGGCATGGGGAGGACCTGCTGTGGTTGGCTTACAGCAAAAGCCTGCTTGGTCATGCTGTGCTGTGCAGGACCCGCAGCAGCAGCTCCTCAGGTGGTCTGTGCTATCTCCTGGTACTGGAAGTGAGAGAAATTCCACCTGCAAATAGGGCAAAACATTTGGACAGTGAAGTGATGAATTTTTGGCAGGCTTTAGTGGATGCACTGACACTTTGGGGCCTGTAAATCAGATTTGGTGCCTTTCAGAGAGTAGAGATGTAGCATAAATTACAGGTCACAACGTGCATCATTCTAGAGGTGCAGGGGGGTATGTGAATGGGTTACTTCGTGTCAGGGTGCAGGAAGGACCAGCTGCTCTGCGAGGCTCAGGGAGCCCAGTGTGATGGCCAGGTCAGTGGGGCAGCACCTCCTCGCCAGGGCCAGCCAAACTGCAGGGTGGGGGAAGCCCATGCAGGGCCCTGACACTCATAGCAGCCTCTGCTTGTCCGGAGAGCGGGGGAAGCAGTCCCGAAGGCAGAGCAATGGAAAGCAGCTGTTCTCCCAGGCGCTCAGGCAGGGCATGATCTCATATAACAGAAAGACCCATGATCCCTCCCAAGCGATGCTTTGGAAGGGCTCCCTGAAGGCTTGCAAACGCCACGGAGATGTTACATGTGCCACGGGTGCTCCTGCACCAGCCAACCAGCCAGGAGCTGGGCACTGGGCCTTTCAGGACAGCTAAGGGCAGCAAATTGCTCCAAAGAGCTGAGGGGTCTATTGGGGGTCAGGAAGCTCCTCCTTCCTCTCTCAGCCTCTTCCCTCTTGCTCAGGGACTGCTGCTGGGTAAGATGCCTCTCACCCTCCAGCTGAGCCTGTTCACCTCCAGCAGGGCCACTCAACTGCTGCTATAAAAGACTCAAGGTGGGTTGCAGCTGGGGCTGGTTATGCCTCAGCTTCTTACAGCTACCTTTGGTGGTGTCTGTAGCATTAATGGCCATGTAGCAATCTTCTTAAGGAAAATTTTTGAATTATTGTTTACTAATAAACCTGTACCAGGGCTAAGGTAGCAATGCTGTTGACTAACCTAACCCCCGTTGCCTTTGAATTCAGTTATATGTGTTCTTGTAAGGCAAGCTCTTCTGAGATCAAACCATGTGCTGATGTAAAACTCTGCAATTTCAGGGAAGAGCTTTGCAGAGTTGAATTTTCTCCTGCTATTGGTGATCCCGCTTGATTGTGAAGAGGTGAGTATGCTCAAAGTGAGAGGTAGAACCATTTAGCAGTAGTTCAAAGGAAATAAGATGACTTTTTGGTTTTATGAAATCCAAGAGAATGAGGAAGCTTGGGGAGTTATTGGAAACAGAAAGACAGTGTTCACAAGAGTAAGGATGTACGTCTAATGTCTGCTCTTAGAAAAGTATATCAAGTAATAGAAGAATACTAGTTAAACCATCCTTGAAAGCAATACAGATTAACCTGTGTATCTTGTCAAAAAAGAGAAAGAAATAGAAACAACATTACATGCTCTGCAAGTGGTAAACTCAATGTTATAATCCCAATGATACGAGCTCTG